TCTCTCCTAGAAACACTGCTGGTTCTAGAGCAGAGCAAATCATAGTGCTTTCTGAAGTAGATAATCAATAAAGTGTACCTGGGAATGCGGTGAGGTTATGTGTTTCATACGTGAACTGCGTTTAAAATCTCTTCCATCGTTTTCATTTGATGACAAAACACGATGCTTGGGCGTTGCATAAATGAGCGATTCGTCTCACATGCTGGTAAATCTAAGCGTTTGCAAGACACGCTACAATGAACCCACAACAATCTACATTGGATGATGAGATGGGTCACACACTGACCACATGGTGAATTTACTGAGGTAACTCTGGATGTTACGTATTTTGAGTAGGCTACAAGGAGCTCAATGTGCGTTCTCTGTCTTTGCGCAACGAGAGTGAGCTTTGACACATTCAAGTAATGTTGTGGAGGAGGACGAATCGCCATGTAAATGTACTTAGTCATGACAGTAGCAAACCATTCATCATTTCTTAGCTCTTCCTCAATCATTCTCATTTGTCTGCTTCGCTGTTTTTAGCAACGTCTTCGCCGAGATCGAAGCTCAGTCATTGCAATTCTGGATGTGCACCAAGTACTACCTGCTGCTTGAGTACAAGGCCAGAACCATTGTGCCAGCGCCGTTCGGTGTCATTCAGGTGGTGCTGGAGGTTGTCGCCTACCTCATGACGCTCTGTGTGAAGGCCACGCGGCGCCTCAAACCACCAGTCGGTGAGGCTACTTTGGAGTTCTTTGGTGCAAGTTCGAACATCGTCAGTAATCATGGTTGGCAGTTATGACACAAGCCGGACGCCTTTCGTGATCTCATGGCATGACCCTAGTGGCCTAATTCCACGTGTGTCAGCATATTTCGTATAAGAAAGATCTTTCTTGTTATCAGGCGTCAGATTATCGATAGTCCAATTGACTGCGATCGAATAAGTGGTAAAACGATAACATAGTTTGCACCTTCAATTACTAAATATATTAGAGGCGATCGTGTGATTTTGACCACCATACCATACTCAGACACATCTTTTGAAATGGCTTTTGAGCCAATGACCTTGTGGCGGTCTATCTGAATGCGGCAAATGTGGTGTTGGCTGTTGCGGTGTACGGGCGCTCTAAAGCTGCGACCTGAGCTCAATTATGCGAACTCTTTTTCTAGCAAATCAACGACCTCCCACGCACATGCACACGACAAAACAGAGCATCGTGCAGGAAGCTTTTATTGTCTCACGAAATATAAGGAGCCCTACGTAGTCACCATCAATGGCTCCAACTCCCGTTTAGGTGATTTTGATGTTGAGGAGTCCGTCGACGCTGCTTACGAAATGAAGGATGCCGAGGTGGGACATGGTGACGATGATGAGGACGACGACGACGACGATGATCTAGAGCTGTCAGTCACCGAAATGCAGCACTGGGCGGCTCGCCAAGTCCTCCAGAGGGAGACAGTCGATGAGACCAACCAACTTGCCAGTATCCGTCAATTGTAAGTCCAACACGCCCACAGGAACTTTGTCGTGGCTTGAAGCAAGTCACTGTCTGGTAATGCTTCATTGGTCGAGAGTGCCTGCTGTGTGCTGCAAAACGATTTCTTACATAAAACAACCTCGTTGTACTTTTCCTTGTGTTGGCCTTTTAGGGTGGAAAATGTTCACAAGACTCTCGTCGTGGACGGATCAGGTGTGTTGAAATCAGTTATCATGAGTGGAATATTGGATGTGTTTTGAAGTCATATTTGGGTGGCTTTTGTAGGTGCTGAATTGAAGGCTGCAAACAAGTGCGATTGGGTTGCTGTAAGTTGCAGTGTACGCAGCAAGATCCGGTTTGGATGAGCCACTTTGTTTCATTTGATTTTGCTTAATTTAGCGCGAGACGACAGGACTTTCGCGGACAGATTCGAATCAGCATACATCGTCAGCAGACTCCAGTGTCGAAACCTCGGATTAAGTGGGACAGAGCAAACCACGTTTTACTGAAACCTCCCGATCAACAACCATCGTGTGAGGTGTGAATAACTTGATGAATAGAGCCTTGTTTCGAGAGGAACTTCCGCTTATTTGATGTGCGAGTGTGCTTTCGTAAGGTACGTTATGAGTTGGCAAAGCAACTACGAGCGAGATGTCCATGGGTAAAAAGAGGGTAATTCATAGGTGTCTTAGCAGTGTGCTATCCTTCACCGGCATTCAGATCACACGCTTGAGATTAAAATAAACAGGCGTTTTGTGGAAGCATTTGCACACAACGCCAGCATAGTTGCGGATTGCATTGAGACGGTTAGTGACAAAGTGAGTAGGACATTGGCCTGCACGCATTCATTGACGACTTTTGCTTGATCACTCACCATATTTGGGTGAGTTGCTGCCAGTCAAAACGTGTCTGGGTGTTTAACCTCGGGTGAAGCACGACGCCCACTCAATCTTCAGTCAGTGGAAGGGCAAGTGTGGCGGGCACTGCACAATCGGTATTTGAGAGGTGGCAAATCCTTGTGTACCATCGCAGACTATGTGCAGAAGCAACGTGGACAGTTTTGCAGATAGACTGCTGAAGACCTTCCTCGAAGCTGTTGTTTCAATGTAGCACACGCAACAGGCAACCGTGTCTTTGTAAATGTTTTCGTTGAAGTAACAAACCTGCCTCACGTTTAGTAGCTGTTTGGTGACTTGTCCGAACAGTGGATACGCGTACTGCAGTTGTCAGTCTTAGTGTAAACGTTGGTGCTTTTTCAGTGGCACGAATATCAAATGGAAGCAGAGATGGAAAAGTGCAAGTTTGTAGCGAGCACGTCAGTCGCATTGAGAGGCAGCGTGGCATTGTCTGATGCTGCACTCAGAAACGAAACTTGTGGTATGTCAAATTCGACACAAGTAATATAATGATTTGGGGAATTCGGTGTGCCACTCACGGTTGTCTGCATAACTTCTGCTATGGCGCATAGCGCGCAGATGCATAGACCAATTAGAAGAAGGTGGGGGAAGTAATTTTGAATCTTGGTGTGCATTATCCACAGTCAAAAGTGAAAATACTAAATGGTAAATATCTTAACAAATGTAGTCATTGGGGATATTGAAACCACAACAGCTCTTACCGGGAGATTGTGCAAGTGTTTTTTCATGTGGTTGGCTTGGAGTGGAATAGTGTTGGTTGCCGCCGTATTCGACTACGACGTCTTGGATGTAATGAACGTTTTACCGGTATATGGCCTCTGCCATGTTGATTCTATGGAATTGCTGTCAAATGGAGAAGCTCAAATGTGTCCAAAAGTGCAGCCAGTGATCTACGGTGTCTCTTGGGGCTGAGCTTCGGCGACGTTCTGTCGCGTGTCTAATCCATGTGTCGCGACCCATCTTCACATCGAAGACCACCCTCCTGTGTCGGCGTGTGATCGTTCCTTTGATCCATAGTTCTTGCCGTGGTCGGTAGTCTGGAGCGAAGACGAGAGTTCCAACCTGAAATGGCGTAGTTGATTTCAGGCATGGGAGGGGATGCTTTGGGAAGTTCCGCTTCGTGTTTGATGGAGCCGTGGCAGACCTTAGGGAATTTGTGGTAGCACATTAGCCCTGAGAACATCTTTTGACCAGTTCTGCAAATAGTTAGTCCATTTGAGGCCGATATTCGGGTGTCCGGAATAGAAATGACGATGGACATGACAGCGAAGCGATTTGGACACGACGATTTTAAAGAAAGTCGCAGATGGGCAGCAAGTATACATCCACGAATAGGTTTGGAATGTCCTAGTCGGTCATGTTTCAGTGGATGCTTATCACGTACCCCGAAAATGGCTTTATGGGGGCCATTTTGGCAGTTAATAGGGCTCAATCAAATGCCGAGTCAGCGTAGTGGTCATAGTTAAGCGTGGAGGGCAGATGCAAGCGCATCAAGTCCGATTAATTCACTCAAATTATCGCTTTGGCCTTAATTTCCACAATTAAACTGCAGTTCATTGCTCGCAGCTCGAGTGCAGGAGGATCCACGCCATGATCCTTGATTGCGACACAACGAATAGCGTATTGATATCGCCAATTCCACATTTGATGAAGCAGCTGTCGAGTAGAGATGCGCGGCACCAAGATGTCGTTAAGATTTGGCGTCATGGAATACAGGCGACTTGAGCCAATGCAATCGTTCATTGTTAGTTAGCTGTGGCAGCTGCTGTGCAAAGGCGTTTTGAGCACACAGACACAGATCATTGGTGTGTTGCATTTTTGGTTACTACAGATGATCTCACCATGCCGTAATACATTATTATGGCCAATATTGCGTTATAGAATCGAGAGTCGCTAAGAGTCTTTGATGGCATAATTCATTTGTTTAATGGTTAATAAACTAGCCGGTAATCTGTGCGTGTCTTAGCATAAAAATTCGACCATTTAGTGATGTTTATATATCTTTCGATGTTTTAGCACAAAGAAAGAGTGAAGTTGGAATCAACTGTGAGCAGTAAATGACTAAAAATGCAAGACATTTATTCTGTTTAAAGTAATAACAAATTATTATTCAATTAAACCACAAATAGTTCTT